CAGCTCTTCTTTGAAATATGAATTTTCAATTTCTACCTGGAAGAAATTTTACAATCTTTGCACTCTCCTATACCTGAGGAAGGGCACATATGCCCGAAAGCTTGCAAACAAAGAATATATTTTTTGCAACTGTCTAGCTGGTCTAATAAAAAATATCTCCTCCCCAGGAGTTCTGCTTACGTCTTCCTGCAGACCAACCTGTATCTCTCAGTCATGCTGAGGACTTTCAGTGCTGAAAAAAGGAAAAACTCCAGAAGCAGCTCACTCTTTCAAAGATATTTGTGGGCAGCACAGTCAAAAGCAGCAGTAGCCTTCACAAATTTTATGTAAATACTATAAAAGCAAATATCTTAAATATTGTTTCTATTGGAGGCAAGGTTTTTTCTATCTATCCCTATTGGTGACTGGCCACCCAGCTTTAAGCGCGTTGCCCTTCATATTGGAAAAGCTAGTTGCTTCTCCTGCCCTTGATGGAAATTTTAACTTTTTAGGGCCAAATCTGACACAGGTCAAACCTGAGCATCCCTTTTGTATTGTAAATGATTGGGTTGGGCTAGGTTTGGAATTAAATGTGTTAGGACACTGCCATAATATTTAGGTCTCTTAACAGAGATCTGTTGCTGATAGATTACCCTCCTGAAATCTCCCTACTGAAGCTGTTCCCTTCCCATGGCCACAAGTTGGTTTGTTAGGGGATTGTTTGTTTTTATTCAGAGCATGGTATACATTTACCAGGAGTTTGCAAATTGACATAGAGAAGACTGCCCCTCCTGCTAATGTAAAGAATGCAAACACAAGGAAGGAAGCACTTTGGATCTTTATTAGTGTCCTTTTGGAGATCCAGCCCTGCTCTCATTTAAGTCAAATGAAGTTTAACCATTGCTTTTAATGGGAGTAAGAGTAATAAGACCTAGGTCAGCAAAGTACATAAGCAATAAGTATTTACCTAGCTTACGGCATATGCTTAAACAATTTGTTAAACTGAAGGCTAAATGTTAATTAGATGTTAACCTGACACTGATCTTTTCAATATTTTTTTTAAAACAGCCTCATTTATTAATACTTTAAATGATTTAACCAAAATAATTTTAAAAAATCAAAATTACTTTATACATTTCTCCAGTTTCTCCTCTTGTCTCAGGTAATGAAAGATGCTCCTTATGTTCGGTTTATTATGCACTGAAAACAGCATACAATTCTGCTCTGACTAGATTGAGAGTCTGGCAGAAGTTTAAATCCAAACTAAAATGTCTTCAGAGAAATAAAATCTTCATCTCCAAATTACTCCAGTCCTACTACATCCGGTGTTTGTTTGTCTGTGTGTTAAAAAAATCCTAACTTTTAGGTCAATGTATAGAAGGGGTTTTTTATCATTTAAAGAGAAATACATAAATGAAATATTCAGTATTAGACTGGAGGAAAAAGCTTATGACTATTTCTAATTGTGTGCAATATGGTGCAAAGTACAGTGTTGCCAACTCATGATTTTTGGCATTGTTCTTAAAGAAGTAATAGGTGCCTACGTGTCACTCTGTACTGCATGTAGATGTTTTAGACATAATTAACAGCTATGTAAGAAGAAACTAATTTCAACATTGATGAGCCAGTTGATGTAACACGGAGCTACTGCTGCTCCTAAATTGTGCAAACAGTGTGACTAAGAAGCAGCTAAAAGGTGAGTTTTTAAATGTCTCACTATGACGCACTAGAAAAGTTCTGTGAGCAATATTTTTTAAAACCCCAGTGAGACTATGCCCTTCTTCCTCCTTGACCCACAGAGTGTCACCCTGACCCTCTGATTAATTCATGAGTTTCTCTCATCGATATGGGGTGCAAGACCAGGGCAGAAACTAGCTTGAAGCTTAAAGGAGAAATCTTGTGTGCATTTTATTAAAAAAAATAAATAAATAATAATAATAGTAAGCTTCAAAAACTTAGTTGCTCTTGTTCAAAGGCAAAGCACGAGAGAAATTTATTGCACAATATTGAAATGGAGTAACAATTTGTTTTGAGGTATAGGAGTTGCATAAAGAACATAAATGAACAGTCATTTACAATAAATGAATTCATTTACAATAAATGAATGTAAAAAGTCACAGGATAGAGCTGCAGCTAGGTCAAACCTAATCTTCAATTTCTGTTCTGAGACTTGGGTATAAAAAGAAGGCTCTCAAGAGCATGTTTACCACTGTACACAAATATACACAGTCCATAAAAAACACTTGTTTGCAGGGCTGGATTAACCCTTTAGTGGGCTCTAGGCAAACAAACTCATGGAGCTCTAACTTAATACCATATATTTATATTACTTTTTTTCACTGAATAATTATAATATATAAAATAAGCACAACTGGCCCTCTTCTTCCTTTAGGGCCCTATGCATGTGCCTCGTTTGCCTGTGTGGTAATCCAGCCCTATCTGTTAGTAAAGTCTGTAGAAGTTCATTCATAAGAAAATGAAGCAACTGGGACCTGGATTGAAAAGTCCTGGTCAGAAAGAAGCAGGAGGCAAGCCTTGATGAGCATAGAGAGCAGAGCTGCACTGCCTGGTGTCCAAGTGAGAGCACAGCAGCCTGCAGGAAGCAGTCTCTCAAGCCTTTCTCCCAGCCTCTGTAGCCCCTGTTCCCCCCCAGCCAATATGCTGCTGCTGTGTCCCGTCACTTGCTTGGGAGGCTGTTGGGTTGCAGATAAGCAGACAGTAGTCCTTCTGTGGGAGTCTGTGCTGGGATGGTGGGGCAAAGCTGGTGAAGGCATGGTTGGCAGATGGCAGCATGGTATGGAGTACTGCCAGGGACATCAGCATAAGCTGAGTAGGGAATCCTTTGGGTGGGGGCAGCAGGGTGTAAAACCACTGCTGTATTACTGATCTGCATGTTTTACTAACCCCCAGTATAGTTACTATAGTTGGGATTAAACCCCTAAATGCAACCCTTGCCTGGCAGAAAGATGGCATTTACATGATCTAAACCTCTTTTGTATCAGGAGCCATTTGTGAACACCGATAGCCAGTCCTGACCCAGCGCCCCTCACTCCTGACCCGCTGCCCCCAAACCCCAGCCCCCAGTGTGTAAAGCATGGGGCGGGGGGTGGCAAACAGCCCCTGGCAGGCAGGAACTCTGCCAGCCTGCAAAGGAAAGGGCCAGGGCTTCCCACTTTCTTTCCTTTAAAGGAGAGTCCATTTTTAAAAGTTTCGTGAGCTACTTGTAAAGTTTGTTTGCAACGTTTTCATATACCAAACATGCTGCCTCCTCCTCTTTGCAACACCGCATTTCCTGAACTTTGTCATGCCCTTGTGCCCTGTAAACAGCTGCTGCAGGTACTGCACGGATGCTGGGCAGGGTTCAAATTAGGGGTGAGGGCTGAGCACACCCCCCCCAAATTTGTAAATCCTAACCTGGGGGGGGG